GGCCCCAGGGGGGCAGGCGTCTACAACGTCTCCTGGCAAAACACCATTTGGTGGAGCCAGGAGACTGAATATCCACCCTCGGGGCTCCTCCAGAAACAACAAAAAGCCATCTTGGATGGCCACGTGGAATGTTTGAACTCTCACTGCGGAGGAGAGGCTGCCACTCCTTGGTCGGGAGGTGGACCGGTACCGCCTGGATCTCTATGGTATTCAGGAGGTCCAGTGGACAGATTCTGGCTTCTGCCACCATGAGGGGTGGACAGTCCTCTACTCGGGGCAGGAGACTGCCAAACAACAGGGAGTGGCCCTTCTTCTGAACAAAATAATGAACGGGGCGTGGAAGCGTGGCAGTGAGGTGTGGGAAGCTGTAAGCCCCAGGTTACTTTGGGCTCGCCTTCTCATCAACCAAAGGTGAGGAGTGGTGGTCGTGGTTACTTATGCCCCCACCGAAGACGAACATCCGTGGCGGGATGCAGGCAAGGCAGATGAGTCAGATGCCTTCTATGACCTCCTGTCACAGGTGCTGGCTAAAGTGGCCCCTCGGGATAAAGTAATCTTGTTGGGTGACTTCAATGCCCGAGTTGGTCATGATGCTAGCACCTGGACTGGATTGATTGGAAGACATGGGCCAGATCAGCTCAATAACAACGTTAGGAGGCTGCTAGATTTTTGTGCAGCCCATGGGCTTGTGATTACCAACATGCTGTTCCGTCATCGGCACATCCACACAACATCATGGATGCATGCCGGGTCCAAGCAAGAACTTCTGCTAGACTACATAGTGATGGAACAGCGGATAAGGGCCCATGTCAATGAAACCAGAACCTACAGTGGAGCTGATCTGCCCACTGACCATCGACTTGTCATCTGCAAGATGCGCCTGCCATTCGTGCACTCCGGAAGTGGGTGTACACCCAGGACCCCATTCCAATCTAAGGTGGCCTGGTCTCAGTTAGCTGATGAAAGTTGCAAGAGATAATTTCATCATTGCTTGTGGCTGGGGTTGGCATCATCTCCCCACTCCTGATATCGAGGGTAGATGGGCGAGGTTTAGGACTGTGGCTCATGCAGCTGCAATGGCTGCTTTGGGTACATGGTCCAGACCTCCTCAGAGACCCTTGCTGACAGAGGAGGTGTTCAGGCTGGCTGAGAAAAAGCGACAGGCCCACTCTCATCGGCTACAGCATCCCACGTCGGAGAATGAGGAGGCTTACCGCAGCCTTCGCTCGGAGGTACGGAGAGCCATGAGGCGCTGCAAGGATGGGTGGTGGTCGCGGTTTGCTGAGGAGATCGAGTCTGCCTCAATGGCCCGCAATCACAAATCGCTCTTTAATTCCATCAACAAAGTAACCTGTAGTGCCACACCTATTACCATCATTAGCCGAATGAACGGTGATTCAATCTCCGACCCCAGGAACAGGTTTGCAGATTTGTTGAGCATTTCTGTGAGGTTCTGGGGGAGAGGAAATCCCTCAGCCAAGAAAACAACATGGGACAAAGCGGGGATGACCCTGCCGAGGCTGCAGTGCCTCAAATATTGGAAGAAGTCACCCCCTGTGAATGGCTGACTGAGGTGCAATCTGTTGAGTAAATACTGAAGGCGATCCAGAGTCTGAGACCAGGAAAGGCACCGGGCAGAGATGATCTCCCAAGCGAAATGCTGAGGGAGGGTGGCGTTTGTGCACAGACTGCCCTACATGACATCACAACAACAGTCTGGACCACTGGACGGGTTCCGCAGGATTGGGAGGATGCCCTGGTGGTCCCCCTCTTTAAGAAGGAGGACCGCACAGACTGTAACAACTTCAGGGGCATCTCACTCCTCAGTGTGCCGGGAAAGGTGCTGGCAAGGATTATTCAACATTGCCTTGCCAGGCACGCTGAGGAGAGGCTTGCGGAGCCCCAATGCGGTTTTCATTAAAGTGCGGTCCTGCACAGATGCCATATTTTCTGTCCGTCTGCTACGTCAGAGGTTTAGGGAATTCCGACAAGATCTACATCTCTGCTTTATTGACCTATTTAAGGCCTATGATACCATCAGTAGGCCTGGGCTCTGGGTTGTTCTTCGTGCTTTCGGAGTCCCTGACCCACTGCTCATCATTAAGGACCTTCATGATGGTGAGTGGGCCCGTGTAAAACTACGTGGCCAGGAGTCGGAACCATTCTCTGTTCACTTTGGGGTGCAACAGGGATGTCCTCTGGCTCCCACATTATTTAACATCTATTTCGACCACGTAGTTTGTAAAGCCTTCAATAGCTGTACCGGAGGAATTTCCACCTGGTACAGATACAAGGGGAGGCTGATCGATGCCCAGGTGCGGTCAAGAGATGGCTCCCTATTGCTCAACCATGTTACATATGCCGATGATCTGGTAATTGCTCACTCAGAGGAGGAGTTGGAGGCGCTTCTGCTGAACCTGGAGCTTGCCACTAAGAGGTGGGGACGGACCATTAGCCCCACCAAAATTAAGCACCTGCCTGGGTATTTTGTACCATCGGACAATCCACCCCCACAACTCCCAATTGGTGATAGGGCAGTTGTGGAGAGAGTGGAGAGCTTTCTATACCTGGGCAGTGTGCTTATGACCGGCTCCGGTTTGACAGCAGAGGTCTCACTCCAAATCAGTCGAACAGCAATATCTTTTCATCGTTTGCATAACGCTATGTGGAAGCTACCTGGTCTGTTACTCCACACGAAGCTTCAGGTCTTCTCGACCACAGTCATTCCCTCCCTTCTCTACGCTTGTGAAACGTCGACCCCCCCCTAATGGAATATCTTCGCTGGTTAGAAACATTTAGGCTGGCTTGCCTACGATCCATCTTGGGTTTAACCAGGCTGGATTGTGTGAGGAGCTCACAAATCCTTGAAAGATCTGGGCAAGGTCCCATCGGTGAGCTCCTCCAGCAGGCAAGACTGCGTTGGCTGGGTCATGTAGCCCGCATGCCCAGCCACCGCATGCCGAAACAGCTTTTGTTCGGCCGGATCGAGGGGGCTAAACGGGCGCGGCACGGGCTAGAGAAGAGATGGAGTGATGTGGTACAGGACGACGTGGAGCTGAGTGGACTTGCCGATGACCGGTACCAGCGGTGTCAAGATCGGCCTCTGTGGAGGAGGCTCGTGAAGGATGCTACTGGGCAGTTGGAGGCAGTCGCCCTCCAGCGACAACAGAGGGGGGAGGAGCGACGCTCACAACAACGAGCGGAGCGCCGGATGGCTAAAGCACAGGAGGTTGGCACAATAGGGGGCACAGGTGGTGCATCAGCCTGTCATCTCAGTCAGTCGACCCGTGGCACCTGGGTCTGCCCCGTGACCTCCTGCCAGCGGGTGTTCGACACTTCACGTGGCCTTAACGTGCACGTAGCCTGGCACAAGCGTCGTGGTGTGTGTGTATAGGTGTGTGTGTGTGGGGAGTGGTGGTGTAGCGGTTAGCGCTACGCTGCGCTACGAACCCGGCTACCCGAGTTCGATTCCCGTTCACGGCCAACACCGCTGCCAATTATCTGAACCGGTCCTGGGCCTCCCCTAGGTCGACTCAGCCTTAGCAGTCTGTAGTAAACATCGCCACTGGGGAGACAAAGGCGGCGGGGCGCGGTGTTGGCCACCCACCCCCTCGTGTGCCGTTCCGGCCTTCATAGGTGCTCGCTCGAAGCACTTGCCCAATGATAAAGATGCACACAGTGACAGCTGTCCCTGTGCATCAGTCTCTCAGTAGTAGGGGTGGTGATGATTGACTGCTGTGTGGTTCTAGCCTAGGGGCACCCCCAGTGGCAGCTGTCCCTGTGCATCAGTCTGTCAGCAGCAGGGTGGTGATGATTGACTGCTGTGTGGGTCTAGCCTAGGGGCACCCCCAGTGGCAGCTGTCTCTGTGCATCAGTCTGCTGTCAGTAGTAGGGGTGGTGATGATTGACTACTGTGTGGGTCTAGCCTAGGGGGCACCCCCAGTGGCAGCTGTCTCTGTGCATCAGTCTGCTGTCAGTAGTAGGGGGTGGTGATGATTGACTGCTGTGTAGGTCTAGCCTGGGGGCACCCCCAGTGGCAGCTGTCCCTGTGCATCAGTCTGCTGTCAGTAGTAGGGGTGGTGATGATTGACTGCTGTGTGGGTCTAGCCTAGGGGGCACCCCCAGTGGCAGCTGTCCCTGTGCATCAGTCTGTCAGTAGTAGGGGTGGTGATGATTGACTGCTGTGTGGGTCTAGCCTAGGGGCACCCCCAGTGGCAGCTGTCCCTGTGCATCAGTCTGTCAGTAGTAGGGGTGGTGATGATTGACTGCTGTGTGGGTCTAGCCTAGGGGGCACCCCCAGTGGCAGCTGTCCCTGTGCATCAGTCTGCCAGTAGTAGGGGTGGTGATGATTGACTGCTGTGTGGGTCTAGCCTAGGGGGCACCCCCAGTGACAGCTGTCCCTGTGCATCAGTCTGCTGTCAGTAGTAGGGGGTGGTGATGATTGACTGCTGTGTGGGTCTAGCCTAGGGGGCACCCCCAGTGGCAGCTGTCTGTGTGCATCAGTCTGTCAGTAGTAGGGGTGGTGATGATTGTTGCTGTGTGGGTCTAGCCTAGGGGGCACCCCTAGTGGCAGCTGTCTCAACGTGTGCGTGGGGGCACCTTACCCGGATCCGCTGCTGTCCACCACTCTCCCCGACGGCAGCCTCCAGAGGAGCGCCGGCGGCGGCCGTCCCGTGGCGGCGCATCCCAGCCGCAGGCTCCCGCCCAGCGCCGCCGCCACCCGCGCCGGCAGGGAGCCCGGCTCGATGCGGGCGCCTCGGACCGGCGGCGGCCGGGGAGGCCGCCCGGCGCCCGCGTGGGAGCCGGCACCGGCAGCGGCACCGGCAGCGGTACCGGCAGCGGTACCAGCAGCGGTACCAGCAGTGGTACTAGCAGCGGTACTAGCAGCGGCACCGGCAGCGGTACTAGCAGCGGTACCAGCAGCGGTACTAGCAGCGGTACTAGCAGCCGCACCAGCAGCGGTACCAGCAGCGGTACTAGCAGTCGCACCGGGGGTGGTACTAGCAGTGGTACCAGCAGCGGTACCAGCAGCGGTACTAGCAGCGGCAGCAGCAGCACCAACGCGAGCACTGTGGCCAATAACAGTGACAGCCCTACCCTCGCTAGTGCCAGCATTACCGCCACCAACACTACCACCAGCACTACCACCAACATTACCACGAGTACTACCACCAACACTACCACCACTAAAACTACCACTAAAACTAACACTACTACCGGCACTAGCAGCAGCACCACCAACACTACCACCAGCACTACCACCAGCACTGCCACCAACACTACCACCAATGCTACCACCAATACTACCACCAGCGCTACCACCAACACTACCACCAGCACTACCACCAACGCTACCACCAACACTACCACCAACACTACCACCAACACTAGTACCACTAAACCTACCACTAGCACTACCACGGGCACTAGCAGCACCAACAGCACTACCACCAGCACCACCGACACTAGCATTAGACGTACCAGCACTAACACCAGCACCACCAAGCCTACCACCAGCGCCATCACCACTACTACCAGCACTAGCAGCAGCAGTACCACCAGCACCACCACCAGCACCACCATCACGATCACCACCAGCAGCAACACCACCACCACGGCCACCACCGCCAGCAGCACCACCACCAGTGTGATGGCCAGTAACAGCACCATCACCACCAACACCATCGTCCCCTATATCTCCATCACGTCCACCACCGTTACTACCACCACCACCACCATCAGCACCACCAACACCATCACCGCCAGTATCTCCATCAAGACCACCATCATCAACCTCACCACCGCCAGCATCACCACCACCAGTGTGATGGCCAGTACCACCACCACCACCACCATCATCATCCCCTATATTTCCATCACGTCTACCACTGTCACCACCACCATCACTGCCAATATCTCCATGAAGACCACCATCAATATCACTACCATCATCACCACCACCATCATCTTCACCATCAACATCACCACCACCATCATCATCGTCTCCATCGTCCCCGTCAATGGTGACGACGTTGAGGAGGACGCGGGCAATCCTCTGGTTGACCCTGCCCATGCCCGTCGGGGCCACGCACTCATACACTCCAGCATCAGACACCCTCACCGCCCGCACCCGGAGACCTCCGTCTCCCCGCCAGATGGAGAAACGGCCTCCGAAGAACCACGCGGTGCGGCGCGGAGACCCGCCGAGCATCGTCCCATCCGGCAAGATCCACGACACCGCAGGTGGCGATGCCGCCGTCGCCACCGCCAATGCCGATGATGCTGCCCGTAGCCCGCGTGGCCAGCACGGCAGCTCCAGAGAGCTTCCCCAGCGACTCCACACGGCCCTGGTGTCCACCGCCAGTGGGACGCGAGCCGACGGAGCGCGGGGGGTGGAGGTGGTGGAGGAGGAAGAGGTCGGGGCTTTGTGGGAATGCGGGGGTCGGGGCACTGGTAGCGATTGTCTGGCGGTGGTCTGGCTTTGAGCTGGTGGAGAGATGGGTGGAGGAGGTCTGCTGGAGGTCTGGCTTTGAACTGGTGGAGAGATGGGTGGAGATAATCTACTGGAGGTCTGACTTTGGACTGGTGAAGGTCTGACGGAGGTCTGGCTTTGGACTGGTGAAGGTCTGACGGAGGTCTGGCTTTGGACTGGTGAAGGTCTGACGGAGGTCTGGCTTTGAGCTGGTGGAGAGATGGGTGGAGAAGATCTACTGGAATTCTGACTTTGGAACGGTGAAGAGATGGGTGGAGATAATCTAGTGGAGGTCTGGCTTTGGATTGGTGGAGAGATGGGTGGAGCAGATCTAATGGAGGTCTGGCTTTGGACTGGTGGAGGTCTGACGGAGGTCTGGCTTTGAGCTGGTGGAGAGATGGGTGACGAAGATCTACTGGAATTCTGGCTTTGGACTGGTGAAGAGATGGGTGGAGAAGGTCTACAGGAGGTCTGTCTTTGAACTGGTGAAGAGATGGGTGGAAAAGATCTAATGGAAGTCTGGCTTTGAACTGGTGAAGGTCTGACGGAGGTCTGGCTTTGCGCTGGTGGAGAGATGGGTGGAGAAGATCTACTGGAATTCTGACTTTGGATTGGTGGAGAGATGGGTGGAGATAATCTAGTGGAGGTCTGGCTTTGGATTGGTGGAAAGATGGGTGGAGAAGATCTACTGGAATTCTGGGTTTGGACTGGTGAAGAGATGGGTAAAGAAGGTCTACTGGAGGTCTGATTTTGAGCTACTGAAGACCTGCTGAAGGGCTGGCTTTGAGCAGGTGGAGAAATGGGTGGTGAACGGTTACCGGAGGTCTGGCTATCAGGTGTAGAGATGGGTTGAGAAGATCTGTTAGGTGTCTTTCGTTGAGGTGGAGACGTCCTGTCGAAGGCCTTACTTTGAGGTGGAGATATGGGCGGATAAAATCTACTGGCAGTCTGGTTTTGATATGCGGAAGACATGGACGGAGATGTCCTGTTGACGGTTTGGTTTTGAACTCCTGATGGTCGACTGGTGGACTGGTTCTGAGCTCGTGAAGAGATGGGCGAAGTCCTGTTGGCGCCCTGACTCTGAGCTGCTGGTGAGTTGGGTGGGGAGATCCTGTTGAAGGTCTTGTCCTGAACTGCCGATGGTCTACTGGAGGACTGCCGCTGAGCTTGTGGTGGAGAGATGACTGGCAGAGTCCTGTTGATGGTCTGGTGCTGATCTGGCGATAGCTCGCTGAAGGTCTGCTCGCGCGGTGTAGACATGGGTGACGCAGCCCTACCGAACCCCTGGCTTCGAGGTGGAGAAATGGGTACTGGAGACCTGCTCGAGGCATGGCTTTGAATCGGTATGTGCCTGCTGGAGTTTTGGTTCCGAGCTGGTGTAGGTCTTCTGGAATTTGCGCTTTGAGTCGGTGGTGGGATCTTGTCGGAGGTCTGGCTCTGAGCTGGAGGTCCGGGTGGAGAAGGCCTGCTGGAGTTTTGGTTCCGAGCTGGTGTAGGTCTTCTGGAGTTTGCGCTTTGAGTCGGTGGTGGGATCTTGCCGGAGGTCTGGCTCTGAGCTGGAGGTACTGGTGGAGAAGGCCTGCTGGAGTTTTGGTTCTGAGCTGGTGTAGGTCTTCTGGAATTTGCGCTTTGAGTCGGTGGTGGGATTTTGCCGGAGGTCTGGCTCTGAGCTGGAGGTGGGGGTGGAGAAAGCCTGCTGGAGTTTTGATTCCGAGCTGGTGTAGGTCTTCTGGAATTTGCGCTTTGAGTCGGTAGTGGGATCTTGCCGGAGGTCTGGCTCTGAGCTGGAGGTACTGGTGGAGAAGGCCTGCTGGAGTTTTGGTTCCGAGCTGGTGTAGGTCTTTTGGAGTTTGCGCTTTGAGTCGGTGGTGGGATCTTGCCGTAGACCTGGCTCTGACCTGGAGTTCCGGGTGGAGAAGGTTGACCGAAGGCCTGCCGAGGCACAGAGAAGTCTGTCAAAGGCCTGCTGGTCGGGCGCCAGGGCAGCGAGGTCATCGTCGGCCATGATTCCATCCCCACCTCATCGTCGGCTCTCAGAGGCGGTGGGGCGGAAGTCGCAACCTGGGAGCTTGGAGTCCTGACCCGTGGCGTTGCAACTGCAGATGTAGGGGTCGTGACCTTGTAAGCTGAGGTTGTCATCTGTTGCTGTTGCTGCTGCTGCTTATCTTGCTTCTCCCGCGCCTCTGTTTGCTTCTGCCGCTGCTGCTGCTGCTTTTGCTGTTCCTGTTGCCGCTTCTCATGTGGCTGCTGCGTCTCCTGCTTCTTATTCCGATGCTCATCGAGCTTCTTCTGCTGCTGCGGCCGCTGGACGGTTGCGCGCGCCCGTGCCCACTCCGCCGTCCCGCCACGGCGCCACCCGCCAGGGCCTCTAGCCCTCCACGACACCCTGTCCCGGGGGGCCTCCGACACCCCCTTTGCGGGCAAAGTGGTTGCCGCACTACCGCGTTCCTCCTCCTTCCCTCCTCCTCCTCCTCCTCCTCCTCCTACCCCTCCTCCTCCTACCCCTCCTCCTCCTACCCCTCCTCCTACCCCTCTTCCTACTCCTACTCCTCCTCCTCCTCCTCCTACCCCTCCTCCTCCTACCCCTCCTCCTACTCCTCTTCCTACTCCTCCTCCTCCTCCTCCTCCAACCCCTCGGGCCCCTTTGCGACTGTCGCCTGCCGACCTGTGCCGCTGCAACAGCGCGGCCCAAGCCTCCGCCCAGCGCCGCCCGTCCCGGTGTTTCACGGCTACGTGGCCACGTCGGGCCATCATGGACACCTCCTCCTGCTCCTCCTCCTCCTCCTCCTCCTCGTCCTCCTCCTCCTGTTCCAAATTCTTTTCTCTATCGACGTCACTCCCGGATCCGTCGCCTTCCCCATTCGGGCTCGCCGCGGGCAGCGCCACTTCCACCGCCAGGACGTCGGCCCCGTACGCGTTGACGGCGACGCAGCGGTAGACGCCGGCATCGCCGGGCCCCACGCTGGCCACGTTCAACGCGGAGCGGCCCGCCGGCCCCGCCGCCACTTGGACGCCGGCACGGCCGTCGCCGCCGCCGCTCCGGTTGGACGCGAGCGTCCCGTCGGGCAGCAGCCAGGCGACAGCGGGCACGGGGACGCCGTGGGCCTCGCACGCCAGGGAGGCCGCGCCTCCGGTGGGGACGTAGAGCGGAGGCGGCGTGGAGCCCCCGCGGGCCGGCCATCGCGTTGGCATAACGGCGAGGCGGGCGTGGGCGGCGTTCGCACCGAACGGCCCGCCCCCGACCACGCACGTGTACAGGCCCGAGTCGGACGGCAGGGCCCGGCCAATCGAGAGGGTTCCATCAGGGCGCACCCGTGTGCGGGCGGCAGTGGCGGCGACGGTGGCGCCCGTGGGCACGCGGGCACGGGAGCCGTCTGGCAGAATCCAGGACGTGGCGGAGCCGCGGTCGAGGCTGGAGCAGTGCAACTCGACGTTGGAGCCCTCCACGGCCACCGAGTGGCCACCACCGCTGACGCGGTCTCCATCGTCGCCACCACCACCACCACCAACATGATCACCGGCACCGCCGTCGTCGCTGTCCTGCGAGCGGCGCCGTCCAACGGTTATCCACTTCACCTCAACGTCATCGCCGCTCCACACACCGCCGCCACTCCACACCTCGTCATCGTCGTCGTCTTCTTCACGCCGAACGGACACGTTGACTCGCAGCGTCGCCGCCACCGCGGCACCGCCGCCGCCGCCAAAGCCACCGCCCTCGGCACGGTCCAGGTGGAACTCCACGTGCAGGACATCTGCCAGGAGCCACGCCGGGCGGGCATTGGCAGCCACACGCAGACCGCGCTGGCCCCAGTAGAGGCTCCGGCCCGTGGCGGCACCTGGCGCCTTCACCAGCACCAGACTCTGGCGCTCGCCGGACTCTGCCGCCAGGATCCGCGCAAGCCTCGCCGAATTTCCCGGCCGAGCGGAGCAAAGCATCCCGGAGCGGAGCGTTGCGTTCAAGAGGAGGGCGCCTCCTCCCTCCGTGGCCTCCCGGCCCTCGGGCCCAGCTCCAGTCATCGCGACTGTCACAGGCACTGCCGGGGCAGACGCCCGGCACGCTAAGGCCACGCCGGTGGTGGGGGTCGCCGGTGGCGTCAGAGTGAAGGAGACCACGCCGAGGGGCCGCGTCGGTTCGAGGCGCTCCAAGCGGGCGTCCGTCTCGTCCTCGTGGATCTCCTCCGGGCTGTCCTCGGCCTCCCCGTGGCCACCACCCGGGGAGGCTTCGGCAGGCCCCACCGGGCCACGGAGGATGCGCGGCCGCATGCACACGAGGGCACCGCTTGGGAGTGAGAAGGAGTCCTGGTCGAGGAGGCTTCCCGGGGAGGCGCACTTGGGGCAGAGAGGTGGAGCGTCTGGCTCCTGGCCTCGCTCGCGCTTGCACTGCAGGGCGACTGGGGGAAGACGCCGAGGAAGACGCGGGGGAGGACGCGGGGGAAGACGTGGAGAAGACGCCAAGGAAGACGTGGGGAAGACGTGGGGTACATGCGGGGAATACATGCGGCAGACCCGGGGAAGACGGGGGGAAGACGCGGGGAACACGAGAGGAACGTGCAGGAAAGACGTGGGGAAGACACGGGGAAAACGCGGGGAAGGCAGAGGAACACGCGGGGACACGTGGGGGAGGGGGGGGGTGAACACAGGGTGAAAGGGAAACATTCAAAACGTCATTGGTTTGGCAGGAAGGTTTTCAAAAAGCTTCGGTAAAACAAAGCTAAGAAATCTGGATTTTCATTGCCGGTTTGAAATGTCCTGAGGCACGGGGCAAAGGGTTAGAGGGGCGAAGATACGTCTTGGGTAGTGGGCGGTGCCTTCGAGCGGTAAGGTGCGGGGCCCAAAGTCAGAATGGGGGAAGGTGCTTGTTGAGCCCCACTCCATAACTACACCGCTACTTTTAGCAACGGCCACGCTGTTGTAACACGCAGTGGACCTTCGCGACCAATAACATCCACATTAGAGGTGTTTTGGGTGGTGATCACGTGGGTATAACGACGCATTTCTAATTACGCTATCTAACCACCCCCCAAAAAAAATATATATTGCGGATAACAAAACCGCCGTTTATTTGAACTCATTCTCAGCTCACGCACAATTTTACACCTGTTGTAAAGCGGACATCCACGCTTGCCCGCCCGCCCGCCCGCCCGCCCGCCCGCCCACCCACCCACCGTCTTGGGATCGAACCCAGGCCCACAGGGGGCGCAGGTGGCAGTCGCAGGCCCAGGGGTTGGAGTGCAACGAGGCGCTCCGCACGGCCCCGAGCGCGGCCAGCGTCGCCCGCGGCAGCGACGCCAGCCGGTTGTCGGCCAGGTGCAGGACGCGCAGCGGGGACGCGGGGAAGCGGCCGAGGGCCAGGCCCGAGGCCACGGACGAGGGCCCGAGGTGGTGCAGGCGGTTTCCCTGCAGGTGGAGGTAGCGCAGGCCCAGGAGGCCCGCCATGGCGCCGGGAGCCAGGCGCTCCAGCCGGTTGTGATCCAGGTGGAGGCGGGATAGGGAGGGCAGGCGAGCGAAGGCTCTCGGGCCTACGGTCGTCAGCTCGTTGTGGCTGAGCTTCAGCACCTGGTGCCGGTGAGGGGTGATGGGAGGGGGGAATCCTTTGAATTTAAGTTGTGACGTGTCGCTTAAGTTGCCACTTGAATTTAAATTGTGAATTTGCTTCGTTGCAACCTGGCCTTTGTTGGAACGCGGGCTGCTGATCTCAGACGCGAGTCTTCTGTTGTTGTTCATTGAATCTCGAATAGGTGGTGGGTGGGTATCATCGGACAGCTCGAGTTGAGCCGTCATTATATCTATGGGGAGCCCCTTTTTGTATTCCCAGTATCGACAATGATGAAGAACAAATGAAACAAAAAGGTAAGAAGGGGCCTTGACCTTCTCCGGTGAGACAAGGCCACAAAGGAGGCTGCTTTCTCGATGGCGTAGGCCAATCAAAGAGAATGCGTTCATTATTATTATTAGCAGAGCCATGTTTAAAAAAAAACATGTTGCCAAAAGTGTGATGTTGTGGTTAAAGCAGACTTAATCATAACTTGTCCATAGCTCTGTGTGTGTGTGTCTATTTGGTGTTTGAGAACATCATAACATAAAAGGTATCCCCTAGATACAACTGCTCAACCCCAGCTATTAATAATTTGCTAGTGCATTGCCCTTGCACTGTTCACCGTTTTGGCATTGCCCTGTGGTCTAACACGGGTGGTGAGACTAGTCCATGAAGGAGGCTGCTTTCTCTTTCTCTCTCTCTCTGGCGAAGGCCAATCGGTTTCAAAGACGATGCGTTTACGATTATTATTGTTGTTATTATCTGAGCCATTTTTTATTTTGCATCTTTTGCCACAAAGTGCGATGTGTGGTTAAGGGCGGTGCTGGATCATGACTTGTCAATAGCTGTGTGTGTGTGTGGCTACTTGGTTTTTGAACATCTTAATACAACTACTTTTTTTTATTGCCACTAAGGGTTACCATTCCTGTCGACCCCTTATCAGTGCCCTACCTTATCACGGACCAATTCACACCTCATTGGTCACCCCGTGCCCTTTTATCAATCTAAACCTTCATCCTATTTCGATGGACAAGAATAGCTGGGCTAAACCGTGCATGGTTTAGATGGGTGTGGGTCGAAGCATATTCTTAAAAATTATTCATCATCTTTTCATTCCCATCCACGGCCCGTCTCCCGGCATCGTCGTCATCGTCGTCGCCGTCGTCACAGCTTACACGACCGTGCAGGGCGCGACAGATGCTGGGAGTCCTAGGGAGAATAGTGCAGGGGGTGGTGGGGGGGTTCAGTCGCTACCTGCAGGGCTGGCAGGGCCGGGAAGCCCTCGCCGGGCAGGGCGTGGATGCGGTTGCCGTGCAGGAGCAGCATCTGCAGGTGCGGCGTCGTCGCCAGTCGAGAGGCGTTCACCTCGCGCAGGCTGTTGTAGCTGCGAGGCAAAAGACAAAGATCCCCCGTGTAGCCTGTGGCGGACCGTCGGGGCAAGGGCTGTTAGGGAGCGGCAGCGCCGAAGAAGTCTGCCGGCACCGCGCGGTACACCACGCGCTCACACACGGTACACCACGCACGGTACACCACACACTCACACACGGTACACCACGCACGGTACACCACACACTCACACACGGTACACCACGCACGGTACACCACGCGCTCACACACGGTACACCACGCACGGTACACCACGCACGGTACACCACGCACGGTACACCACGCACGGTACACCACGCACGGTACACCACGCACGGTACACCACGCACGGTACACCACGCACGGTACACCACGCACGGTACACCACGCACTCACACACGGTACACCACACACTCACACACGGTACACCACGCACTCACACACGGTACACCACACACTCACGCACGGTACACCACACACTCACGCACGGTACACCACGCACTCACGCACGGTACACCACACACTCACGCACGGTACACCACGCACTCACGCACGGTACACCACACACGGTACACCACACACTCACCCACGGTACACCACACACTCACACACGGTACACCACGCACTCACACACGGTACACCACACACGGTACACCACACACTCACCCACGGTACACCACACACTCACGCACGGTACACCACGCACTCACGCACGGTACACCACACACTCACACACGGTACACCACGCACTCACACACGGTACACCACACACTCACACACGGTACACCACACACTCACACACGGTACACTCACGAACTCACACACGGTACACCACACACTCACACACGGTACACCACGCACTCACACACGGTACACCACGCACTCACACACGGTACACCACACACTCACACACGGTACACTCACGAACTCACACACGGTACACCACACACTCACACACGGTACACCACGCACTCACACGTGGTACACCACGCACTCACACGTGGTACACCACGTGCTCACACACGGTACACCACACACTCACGCACGGTACACCACACACTCACACACGGTACACCACACACTCACACACGGTACACCACACACTCACACACGGTACACCACACACTCACGCACGGTACACCACACACTCACACACGGTACACCACACACTCACACACCGTACACCACACACTCACACGTGGTACACCACGTGCTCACACACGGTACACCACGCACTCACACACGGTACACCACGCACTCACACACGGTACACCACGCACTCACACACGGTACACCACAAACTCACACACGGTACACCACAAACTCACACACGGTACACCACGTGTACGGTCAATCACACCTTTCAACTCATTAGCAGCGCACTGCCGTATTGCAGACCAAATCTCAACGTTAATCTCACAAAGTCACTTTACACTACCCTCCTATACACCACACTATACACTAGACTACTATACAATACACTACTATACACTACACTACTATACACTACACTACTATACACTACACTACTATACACTATACTATACACCACACTACTATACACTACACTATACACTCCACTAATATACACTACACTATACACTACACTATACACTACACTACTATACACTACTATACACTACACTATACACGACACTACTATACACTAATAGCTATGGGACATTGCTAACATGGTGAGTCTATGGGTCTTTGTGTGAGTCTATGGGTCTCCGTGTGAGTCTGTGGGTCTCTGTGTGAGTCTATGGGTCTCTGTGTGAGTCTATGGGTCTTTGTGTGAGTCTCTGGGTCTCTGTGTGAGTCTCTGGGTCTCTGTGTGAGTCTATGGGTCTTTGTGTGAGTCTCTGGGTCTCTGTGAGTCTATGGGTCTCTGTGTGAGTCTATGGGTCTCTGTGTGAGTCTATGGGTCTCTGTGTGAGTCTATGGGTCTCTGTGTGAGTCTATGGGTCTTTGTGTGAGTCTCTGGGTCTCTGTGTGAGTCTCTGGGTCTCTGTGTGAGTCTATGGGTCTTTGTGTGAGTCTATGGGTCTCTGTGTGAGTCTATGGGTCTCTGTGTGAGTCTATTGGTGTCTGTGTGAGTCTACGGGTCTCTGTGTGAGTCTATGGGTCTTTGTGTGAGTCTCTGGGTCTCTGTGTGAGTCTATGGGTCTCTGTGTGAGTCTATGGGTCTCTGTGTGAGTCTATGGGTCTCTGTGTGAGTCTATGGGTCTTTGTGTGAGTCTCTGGGTCTCTGTGTGAGTCTCTGGGTCTCTGTGTGAGTCTATGGGTCTTTGTGTGAGTCTCTGGGTCTCTGTGTGAGTCTATGGGTCTCTGTGTGAGTCTATGGGTCTCTGTGTGAGTCTATGGGTCTCTGTGTGAGTCTATGGGGTCTCTGCTGTGTGAGTCTATGGGGTCTCTGTGTTCGTAGCCAACCGCACAAAAACGAGTTATTAAAGAAATGCATTTTCAATTTCGACGATTTAAAAGTGCGTAGCTTCCTCTATAGATACGGTACGTCATTGCCTTAATCTAAATCTACGTTATCCCATTGAATATTCCGCTACAGAATTGCTGTTGTCCATTTAAATCAGCCAACGCGGACCGGCTAATTGCAAACCCCGGCTAACGGAGGCCCGGCTATC